AAGGCGTGGATGACACTGAGAAAACCTACCCTGTACAAACAAAGGGCAACAAAAACGCTTAACTGTAAAGTATACACCACTACAGGACAATGGAAACACAATAAGGTAACACACAGCAGTCTGCTAACAGACATGCACCTGTCATCTATCTCCAATACACTGGATGTGCTTTCGTTTTAGATTTCAGCTGTCAGAATGTTATCGCTCTACTGTGAATATTTCAACGTGTCTCTGTTACGATAAATCAACTTCCTGTTGGGGAGTTTTAGTTTCCTGCCAGTCCCATGTTTGGGTGGACGCAATTAAGACCCCAGAAGCTTGCTGCTGATTTAAATAAGGTTGCTATGTGTGAAAGAAAGGGTGTTATTACTTTAAGGAAGCTGCTGAGATTTAATACATGTTTTAAAAAAAGGAGCAAAGTGGGGAAAAAATGGTGCCACTCTTGTTTACCTTCAGCATCTATATGAAAGGAGGCTCTTCACAAAGGCACGGCCCATCAGTTTGGACATCTCACAACATGTTCACTTCCATCATGCTTCCACCATCAAGGCAAAGGTTTAGCCAACATACCAATAGATACTATCTATTTTCAACCATTCCCCTCCATGACTGGTGACATGTAGGACATTTGGCTCTCGGACTTTAGAATTTCACCTGCAGTTTACTTTAATACTTACTGAGCTGAATGTAGTGTGCCTGCTTATCTTCAAGACTGTATAGAGGAGTGTTAGCGGCACAATCACCTCGACCGTTCATCATAATCTAATGAAACTCTATAACCTTACTAAGGCATTCATTTTGTGGAACAAAGGGCTTAACACTATGAACCATAAAAACATTAGCTAATCTAATAACACCTTCCTCCAAACAGATGCTCCTGCAGGTCGAGCTTTGCATCCCCGCACTATCCTCATTAACACAGGCTTTATGTAACAGTCTAAACAGTCATTATCATGTCAGTGACATTTATGGAAGCTTTCATATACACAAAACTCATTACATACACACACACACACACACACACACACACACACACACACGCACACACACACACACACACACACACACACAGTTTGAGTCTAGAATCACCCAATGGTTTGGCAGAAGGCTGATGGTTTGCTGTGCCATAAACACAACAAACACTGGCTAAAGACAATCTGCTCCCTTCGTGCTGCTTCTCCACCCAAATAATTAGTGAGGTGCAGCACTACATCATTCATGCTGAGAACAGACCTTAACAAATTAACCAACCATAAACTGTTACTGGACTTTAATAACTATTATTAGTATTCTACTTTTTCTCCCTTACTATCAGCTTGTTTCCTGGTGTTTTTCTAGCTGAGGTACAGATGAGCACCACAGGCACACATCTGTAATCATCACCAGGAAACAGCTGACACGGTGCCAGCCAGTGTTTGTTAGGGATCACCTGGCAAGCCTCTTCGAGCACAGGCTGAACTGCAGAGCTTCATACGAACCAACATGTTTGTTTTTCCGACTCGATAACTGCTGAGCTGAAAACACCCACCTCCTTTTTGACGGTGCGCAGCAGCCGCTGACGGGTCTCTGCCTCTGAAACACAAATAAAATAAACCAAACAGCGCATCTTTACTTTCTGACACGACTCAACTTTCTCCGCGTTCCCAAACAGAGCCAAATGTTACTTAAATAAATTTAAACAACAGATGATTACTAAAAATGTTCTTTTGCTCCCACCTGCCATGATTGTTGCCATGGATCCTGTCTCCTGTCTGAACGCAGCACCCTCCCATCAGCTGCTTGTACAATGTGGATCACGACTCCACCTCCTCCGAGCACACGCCTCTTAAAGACACGCTACGCTCCCTCCGGGAACGGGTCAGAACCAGGGGAGAGAAATAAATGTTCACCGAAAGACAGCTTTCTAGCCTTAAAATCGGAGTGGACTATATTATTTACGGATACAACCCGTATGGATACAACGTATTACAAACGCTCTTTAGTTACAAGAAATCTTAGCGACAATCTGACTCAAGGATAGTAAAAATAATTTGGTTTAACCGAGATTTTGGATGAAATCTATTACTGAAATTAAGACATGACTAAAACACACCAGAGCTTCGTTTTTGCGTAAATTTATCAGATGGGGAAATCTTTTGTCCTTACGCCATCTTGTGGTCAAAATGTAGAAGAACGGTTACATTAAGATGCCAAACAAAACAAAACAAAAATTAAATTAAATTCTGGGTAAAATTATTATATAAAAATCAGTTATTAACATAATAAACAAATAAAAAAAAAAAAAATTCATTGATTAACCGTAACTACTAAAATAATAAGTAAATAACTAACTAAATTAATGAATAAAATAAAAACAAAAGGGGCAAAAGAGAATAAAAAGAAATAAAATAAAATATATATGAAGATCCATTCTTCCCCTCATCTGTTCTACTGTAACACTCTACTGCATGTCAAACCAGATATGACTCTTCATTATTTTTCTGTAAAATTAAAAATTAAAAATGCTTGAAAAACCGCGTCATTCTGCAACAGAAAATCCCCACAAAGAGTTATAACTCACACTGTCCAGAAGATGGCGACTGTGTAATATATATTTATACCCAGTGATTAGAAGAAAAATAACCAGCAGGTCCACGTGGATCACCATTTTTCACCTTTTATTTAAATTTTGCACTTACTTAATTTTTTTCTCATAGCATCCAACTCAGAACACATTAGAGAAACCTGCAATGTGAGTTGGAGAACCACAGTAGACTTGAGTGAACTATAGAGTGGGAGATCTTAAGGCCATGAGTCCAGCCACGCCTGGAGGACTGAGCTGTCAGGTGAATCAGGTGGTGAAAGGATGGAGTGATAACACAAGATGACAGACGGAGGGGACTGAGGGGTGCAGGGTTGGGCCCCTTTCTCCCCCCACGTTGTTTTTCCTCACAAGCATCCTCTTTAACCCAGGATTCCCCGGCTGGGGTGACTCACACCTTTAGTTAATGTGAGGTAATAGGATGCCGTGTTAAGTGTCATAACAGGACTTCTGCCTGAGTAAACGGCACAGCACACCAAACTCCTCACCAGCTATCCTCTGCCTAATTAGCAATGTTTGTCTTTAGACCACAGCTCAACGCACACAAACATCAACACTCCACATTTATTTGCAGCCTTTTAGCGTAATGCTGTTCTATATAGGAAGAAAAATGTATTTTAAAAAATGGACAGGTTCCTATGAATCACAACAAGGTGCAAGCGGACAGATCAAATAACAAATAACAGAGGTTGCAGTGAAACTTGATTTAAATACATTTTGATATAAATATACAAAACAGATGAAAAAGGTTAAATTTAGGGACTTCGTTATTTTCTAAATGACAACAACTCAAAGGATTTTTAAACCACACCAACACCAGCTTTAGAAATAACAATGCTGTGTCATACAGGCCTCTTTGCCTGTCAGCAGAGCCTCTGGCAGAAGCCAACATGCACATGTCGATGCGTGATTAGAGTCGACGTGCTCTAAGAGACACCAGGGCATGTGAGGGAGGCTCCTGTCAGTCTGATGCTCTTCTGCACATGTATGCCAATGCAGATTGACAGGTTTGTATGTCTGAGAAGGCCAGTAATGTATGGTTTGTTGCTATGTTATTGGCCCTCAGGGGCCCCTACACCTCGGCTGGATAACCACAGCCTTTCCCTCCCAGCTTTTCCCCATCCTAGCTCTGACAATAATATTATCACTTGCATTATAACTTTCTCTGCCTCTCCCTCTCTGTCTATTACCCGGAGAGGTGCTAACTTGAAGGGGAAATAATCTATATTCTTCTTTGCTTCTCCTTTGATGTCCATTTAGCAGGAAAGGGCCAAAACAACAGTTATTAAACAATCCTTCTGCACAGCACGTTGCCCCAGCTTCAGGTGGGGAAGCTGGGCAGTAAACCATGTGACACCAGGCCAGACAGTGCGGCTGCAACTTGGTTCTTAAGTGACAATTTTATGATATTACTGGATGTCTCCTGTCCTATCCTGTGTCATATCCATTTCCCAAAGTAACTTCATTTGATGCACTCTCTCCGCTCACAGACCTACATGACCATGGCTCTCTGACTATCCAGTTAGTAGCCTTTTCAAACTACTCAGTGCTAAAAGCGGTAGATTTGATTACAAATTCATTTTATTAGGTTTCCCTAATCAGTGCAGTTAAGCTACTGTGATTCTATTTTGCTGTCTTCACCAAACTATATGATGCCACAGGACCAGCAAACCAAGATGGTCCAAGGTGCTGTTTATGGCTTTCTGTATTAAATCTGTGGAAGTTCAAACTGACCGATTGCACACTAGTTAAAATTCCTGTTACACTGTGTCAGAAGCCTGTTGTTTGATTTAATCTTTCACTCATGTTTCAGGTATAAGATGTTGAAATCAATTTTCCTTGGCCTTTTTTTTGCAAAAATAAAGACACTGATATCCCCAGAAAATGAGGATCATAATGTACCAATTCATCCAAATTCAGTCTTTATATTCTAAAGTTTGAGTTTCAGGCGACAACAAATTCTAATTCATATTGATAAAAAGAGAAAATATGAGGTTGCAGAGTTTTGAATTTCAATGGTGTGACGTGCAAGAGATGACTTACACAGCGAAACTTCAACATTCACTTTACTGCACATCATGATGCGTTCAGGGGAAAGGAGTTTAAAAAAAATGTGAGTAAAGCTGCAATCCCATCAGTCTTTGCTGCTGGTGAAATTCAACCGTGTTCAAAAACAGGCCTCTCGCCTTTAAAGTGAGTTATCGCATTGATCAACTCTAGCATCGTCGCTTTAGAGTCTGTAAATCATCCTGGACGTTTTAGTTGAAAGACGGTTAAAAAGTGAGGGTATGATTTCTACTGACAGGTATCCCCAAGTGTAGCACCAACAACTCCTCCCACTCGACCCTGTCATCATCACAGGAGAAGCATCCTCCTCTTTGAGGAGCTGTTCCTCTGCCTGACTTTTCACAGTCCGGTGCCCCGACAGGACTCAGCGGTCATGGCCGGCAGTCTGACCCACCACAGCTCCCCGAACCCCGGCTACAGCACCAACAACGCGGTCCCGGTGCCGGTCATCACGCAGACGGAGTCCCGAGACAAATGGAGCAAAAAGATGGATTTTCTCCTGTCTGTGATTGGCTTTGCTGTGGACCTTGGGAATGTTTGGAGGTTTCCGTACATATGTTATCAAAACGGTGGCGGTAAGTAGGCTAAAGGTTTAAAAGCAGGTCGATCCATAAGTTAGGATGTGCGGACTTTGTTTGTAAAACTTGTTCTGTCCTCAAATGATTTTGATCTCACAGTTTCTGCTCGAAAAAGATGACAGCAGAAACTGTCCATGGTGCTGAAGAGAGCATCCATCCGTTAGAAACTCAATTAAAAAGTCTTTGAAATGCATTTGGTCTTTGTTTATAATTTCAAAAAATAAAAGAGCTTAACAAGTTCATATTAAGATAAGATTTTTAGGTCAGGGGACAAAAACTAGGAAAAGAATCACAGGACTATGTGGACAATTCTTTCTTTGCCTGCTCTAACAAGTGGGTCAGTTTCACTTAAATCATGCAGATTCACTCTTTAAGCTGGGATGGGAACCAAAATCAGGTTTAAGTTAGTGTTTTTGTCATTTACAAATGTCCTCAGATGTCATCTCTCCATGCAGGTGCTTTCCTTATTCCCTACATTTTGATGGCCATCTTTGGTGGTGTTCCGCTCTTCTACATGGAGCTGGCACTGGGACAGTTTCACAGAACCGGAGCCATATCAATATGGAAACACATCTGTCCCATTTTCAAAGGTGAGGCCTGAGCTGCTCGACAGATCATGTGCGGACAAAACACATTTTTTATTTGCAGCTACAAAGCTCTTTTCATTTCCTGGTGTGTTTCAGGTATAGGATACGCCATCTGCATCATCGCTCTGTATGTGTCCTTCTACTACAACACCATCATCGCCTGGGCCCTCTTCTACTTCTATTCCTCGTTCTCCAGCATCCTGCCTTGGACTAACTGCGACAATGTGTGGAACACCCCCGACTGCACCAACTATTTTGGCATGGACAACATCACCTGGACAAATGCCTCCAGGTCTCCGGCAGAGGAATTTTACACGTAAGTGCATGTAAGTGTGAGTAGCAAAAACCACATAGGTACACGGCTGTGCGGGAATCCTTGACACAGTCAAGCTGGTGGTTTTGTTTGGGAAATATGATCTTGTTGCTGAAAACGTGATGTTCCATGTTTTGTTTCAACAGGAGGAATGTTCTTGAGATCCACAAGTCATCTGGGCTGAGAGATGTTGGTGGGGTTCGCTGGCAGCTGATGCTTTGCCTTTTTCTCATTTTCACCATAGTGTACTTCAGCCTGTGGAAGGGCGTGAAGACTTCAGGGAAGGTAGTTTTTTGCTGTCGCTTTACTGCCACAACAATGGATGTTCTTTGCTTGAATCACAGATTTTATCTTAGATTTCTGGTTCTCTTACACCTTTGTTTCCGACTCTGATATATCGCCTTCCTCTGCACCAGGTAGTGTGGGTGACCGCCACATTGCCCTATATTGTGCTTTTTATCCTGCTCATTCGAGGCGCCACTCTGCCAGGAGCCTGGAGAGGTGTGGTGTTTTATCTCAAACCACAGTGGGGAAAGCTGCTGGAGACCAGTGTGAGTTGAAGCTGGGGGACCAGCTGGTTTGTTATAAATTATATAATTATTTAAAGTTAAAAACAAACAAACAAATGCTGTTAATTTAAACGATCCATAAAACCCTTGTTCTACGAGAATACGTTTTCAGTTACCTGTAGTCTCATTTGACATGTGTAAAAATTAAGTAAATAAAAGAATAATTTATTTTCACCGATGTGAGAAGAATCAATGCAGCCACTTTTTAGAGCAGCATTTTATCTATAGCAGGGTCATGTTTTTGCTAATATGAAAAAAGTGCTTATAACCTCTTAGAACTTTCACACTTAGCAGGTCCTGGTGAAATGACTCAAATAAGTTGATATTCTTGATAATTTTAACCAACACTGAGGAGAAATCCTGATGCATATTTAACTTGTTAAAATGATGACACTCAGACATGCAGCACAGCTGGATCTTCCAAATATTCATTTAATTCTACCCACTAGTCCCCTGAGAATCAGCCTGTATTTCTTTTCTATCTATCGCGCCTTCTCATCTTCCTTCTTAGCTCGCTGCTGTTGTTTGCAAAACATGTGTGAGTGCTTTGGTTAGAAGAGAATATGGATGAGATGAAATGAGATGCATAAATAAGCCACAGAGCAGGATAATAAGATGCATAATTGGTTTAGATTTTCTGCCATTAACAAAAGCCTCCCTTTCTGTCTCCCTCCCCGATATCCAACGCTGTCCTCTTCTTTTTAATGCCGAATGCGAGCTGCTCTTCAGATCTCCCTGCATACAGCTGTGTACCCACTGTACCACTGACACAACCAATCTCTGCTTGGCAAAATAAAATAAAATTAAAAAAACAAGAAAAATTAGATGGTGTTAAATCAGTGACAATTTATTTTAATACTCTTAAATACCATAATAATCTACAGCATCCCAGAGCATTTTTGCCTCTGTGTTTTGTAGGTGTGGGTGGACGCTGCTGCTCAGATATTCTTTTCTCTGGGCCCAGGGTTCGGGGTCCTCTTGGCTCTTTCAAGCTACAACTCTTTCACAAACAACTGCTATCGGTAAGATCCCTCAGTGGCTGATGACATATGAGACACTGAGTTATTGTCTGAAACTGTGGTTGTGGCTTAAATAGTAAAGACCGATGCTCTGGGTGAAATGCTGAAACCATTGCACGAGTGAAAACACATCTCCTTTTGAGCGTTGTGTTTGATTTTAACGACAAGCTTTGGAAACATTATCCCCGTAATGCCTAGTGTGTCACATTTGATACACTATTTGATACTATTTGAGTTTTTGAGACTTCTGCGTCGACGGTGTGATTTTCTTTTACCTCAGAAAAAAATGTGATAAATTGCACGATACAATTTTAAGCAATAAATTTCCAAAATAAAAAAATAAACCAATTTTTTCAAAAGCTGAACATAGTGTGATACAAATTAAAACTCAAATATGTTTTTTGTATTTTAATTTCTCTTTTGTTTAACAAGAAAAAGTTAAAATGATTGGGAAAGAAATGTTTGAGAAAATATGTCATGTAAGATGCATACAATACAATGTATATACGTTTCCATAATCTCTTGATAAACAAATAAAATAAATAAATAAAAAAAACTCAAATATGCAAATTCTAGTTTTAATTTCTCCATGTGTAATTAATGTATTCTTTATTATCTGTTAATTGTAAGTTATTTATTCTATACCTTATAAGCAAACAGTATCTTGTCGGCTTGTTGGGTGTGTGTGAGCTAAGTGTCTCAGAAAAAGTTTTAAGAAATTTGTAAAGAAAACCAGGCGAAATGCTGAAAATGTCATTTCTGCCTCCGTCTGCAAACAGACCTGTTGTTTAAGAAAGTGTTTTTCTATAAGTAAGTTCAATGACTGCGCTGCTTCCTCCTCGGCAGCGACGCCATCGTGACCAGCTTGGTAAACTGTCTGACCAGCTTTGTGTCGGGCTTCGTCATCTTTACGGTGCTGGGCTACATGGCAGAGATGAGGCAAGTGGAGGTTGAGGATGTAGCCAGAGACAAAGGTCAGCAGGCAAAACAGTAAAACATTGTTTTAAATAAAATGTATTGTAACTATTATAATTACAGATACTCACTCCCATCTCTTCATGTTCATTTCTGTGCTTTTAAGGACCGAGCCTACTCTTCATCACCTACCCAGAGGCCATTGCAAACATGATGGGCTCGACCTTTTTCGCGATCATCTTTTTTGTGATGATGATCACACTGGGACTGGACAGCACGGTACGAGATGAGAAACCTAGAAGTATTCAGTGCATGATGATTACTACCACAGATTCAAATTCATAAATTCAGTCCAATATTTCTTATTTCATGAACTTCAAACATCCTTACACTTCTCTACATGTTTCTAATGATAACAGCTGTCTCTGTGTGCTTCAGTTTGGAGGGCTGGAGGCGATCATCACTGCTGTGTTGGATGAATATCCAGATCAGTTCTATCACAGACGGGAACTTTTTGTTCTGTGCTTGGTGGTTGTCTGTTTTTTAGGCTCTCTGAGCACCCTTACCAATGTAAGTTACTCGTGTTTTATATCCTCATCAAACCCGAGAGAGCAAAAAGCATCGCCTCAATATTTTAAAACAATTACCTTCAATTATAATTAATGCTCTGGATACATTGTAGCAAATTGGAGTAGTGCTATCTACTGTCTGCTGCTCAAATGAGGGGAAATGAGTGCTGACTGATGATCAATGATTGTAAAATCTTACTGGCAGGGTGGTGCCTACGTGGTGAAGCTGCTGGAGGAGTTTGGAGTTGGAAGCTCAATTATTGCAGTGGGTTTCCTTGAGGCTATTGCAGTTTCCTGGTTCTATGGTAAAAAAAAAAAAAAAAGGAAAAAAAGAAGAAATCTATTGACTAGTTTTCTGTTTCTTTTATCACCAGTATAAATTGGTGACCTATAATGGATTGTATTATTTTTGCTGATTTCAGGAATCCATCGATTTAGCAATGACGTTCAGGCTATGCTTGGGAAAGCCCCGGGACTGTTCTGGAAAGTGTGCTGGGTTGCTATCAGTCCTGCGTTTCTGGCGGTGAGAGATACTCTGAACACCCAAAGGTTCAGTCGTAACATCAGCGGTTATGCTGTATAAAAACGACAAGATCTTTTAGTTATCTTCACTCATTGTAAATACTTTAACACATAGTTCTTTGGGTCAAATGAGCATCATCCAGTTAAGCCACTCAGAGATCAGTGAGCTGTAGCAGACAAGGATATGAGAGAAAGCTCATTGCAGGATCAAAAGACAGCTTCAGCAGTGGCCTTTAAAGTTGAAGAGAGCAGACAGTTCAGTGCCCCCTCTGTAGATTAAATTCTTCTCTCTGTGAAGTAGCTTCCTTAAATATTTTCTAGCATGCACACAGACATATGCTGTTTGATACCCTAATCTCTTATTTGCATCCACCTATAAGGTTGTTGTCCTGATGACATTTTAGAATTAGAAATCTACACCAATAAGACTTCTTTTACATATTTTTAAATAATGGACTCAGTACAGGTCATATATTAACATATATGGAAATGCTGCGTATCCCATATCTTCTCAGTATATCATTGTGAGCTCCCTGCTGAAAGCACCACCCCTCGCACTGTTTGATTACAAGTACCCGGACTGGAGCATCATAGTCGGGTACATCGTTGGCTTATCATCCTTCATTTGGGTCCCAATCTACATGGTCTACAAGCTGGTGTGGACCCCTGGTTCCCTCAAACAGGTCGGTGGATGCGTGCAAAGTCCTGAAACTGTTTCTGATGCATTTTCTTCTAATCTAACCTCTGCTTCGTTTGCACGCGTCCCTTGTTTTCCACAGAGATTGGCCGTGTGTCTGAGGCCCGAGAGGACAATACCAGACATCCACGCTGAGAACCTCAACATGGCCACTGTACCATAGAGAGATAAACATCTCTGTGTGCTTTTAGATTGCCATTAAAACCACAGTTGTAGGTTTGTTTATGGCTGAACCTAAACATGATCTAACATTATGACTGATTACCAGTTAATGGTGTTGAACTCTCACTGCGTATGTACACTCTGTATAAAGGTAAATGCTGCTAAATTTTTAATTTTGAGAGGATTTGAGATACTCATATCTCTGCCCTATGTGTGTGTGTGTGTTTGTGTGAGAGAGAGAAACAGAAACGATAGAGAGAGAGCGATTCAGACCTGCGTCACCAGGATAGTTTAGAGTTTTCTCGTTTTGCTTTCTTGTGGTTGTACAAGTTAAGTGGTAAAATCTGTGGTCTCTTTTCATCTTATAAAGATAGATGATGCCAAGGAACATGGGAATATTTGCATGGGAACATTTCTATATTTTATGTACGTTGTTGCTTTGCATGCTCAGCTTTACTAACAGTGGGATCATCAGTGTTGCAGTTGTAGCAGCAGTGAGGCTATCATAGTTAATCTCGGTTGAGTGAGTCATTTCGTGTTATTTACAACCAAAACCTGAGGTAAATAACAAAAGAGTGTATTACAGTGTATTTGATGTATTTTGTATTTAGACAGTAGGTCTGTAATACAGTGCTTGCATAGGATTTTAAAGGCAGCAGCTTGAAGAAGTAAAAGTTGAAAAAGTTGTTTTTTCCCTACTAGTGGAGGTAAGTGAGACTCTCAGACAAAGACCGTGTTAAAAGTGTAATCTTCTTATCATAACTGTGAGTGTATGTTTCACAGTTAAACTAGACACTAATACAATATGTAAAAGAATCTCATGATTAATTTAAATGAGACTGTTGAATATTTTCTGGTCTTTGTCTGATAGCTTCATTTAACTCCAGATAGCCTGTCTTGCCTTAATATGAATACATGCTATACTGTATTTGCAAAACTTGGAAAGGTTGTATTGATATCTATGGATTCTGTGCCTCTCCAGACAATATTTCCACTTTCTAATTTGAGACTGTTCAAATGTTTGTTTGCTTGTTTGTTTGTGTTTTGCATATAAATAGTAGCTCTGTTTTAGTGTTACCTTATCTGAAATGCTTTATCCTTTATTTACAATAAGGGAACGATGTGATGCCCGAGGTTGATGATTGTTCTGTGCTTTCTGTTCTCTTCGGTGTGGTTTCTGTAGACATGTGTGTGTAAATGAATTATAGCATAAATGGCGTATTTTATCGTTTGTACTCCTTTTCAATAGAACAGATTAAATGTGACAAAAGGAAGAAAAACACTGCATAAGATTTATGGCGGTTAAATTCCACTATTTATATCAAACACCCTGTGCTTTTCCTGAACTGTAATTTCCACATGATGATCTTCGTGTCTTTGTAATGGCTGTTGGCTGTCATTGTTCACCTCTATTAGATATTCTAATTAACAAGCTAATTTGCAACATCCACAATCCATCCACATACGGGCGAATAGAGCAGCTTAAACCTTCTGATCTCCTCAGGCCCTCACACTGACACAGACACACACACATGTACAATTTCCGCTAACGCTACCCTTCAGAGTTTTATCTGAGCACGGCTCCATCACGTCAAGGCTGACAGGTATGAAAATATACGAGAGTGGGAAGTGGTTTTGAAACATTTGATTCCCCAATGAGCTGCTGGGTGATCGACGTGCAGATCAAAGCCCTTTTGTGTCAGTGACTGCTATTGAAGTAGAGAACAGGCAAGCACAGGAGACACATAAAAGAGGCAACGCTAAATAGGTGGTTCTCTCCTGCTTGATATGGACAGCTTTAGAAACAGTATACATGGAAAGAATTACTGCATGAACACACTGTTAAACCCTCCAGTTAATGCTAATAATTCTAACAAGGGGTGAATAATAGAAATAAAGGAATAACATTCATTCATCACATGTGCAGGCAGTTAGACTTGACTGTACTCTTCTCTGACTTGTTGGTGTCCATTGTACATGGCTGTAGTTTCTAGTTGCTGATTTAACCAGTGGTGACACAAAATACATCTGACAGTTGTAAGAGATTCAACAACAAAGGGACTGATACTGGGTATTATGCTTTTCTACCACCGATTAGCATAAGCATTTTAAGCTTAGACTACAGGTAGGCTAAAGAAGCTGAGGACTAAACCACCAACCTCCTGACTAGTAGGCAACACGTGTTATCTCCTGAGCCATCTATTTGTTGGGTTTTTGTTTAAAGACAAGAAGCAAAATCAACACAGGAGACAAAAGATAACAAACCTTAAAATTAAACAGGAAGTAAACAAAGGAGGCTGAAAAATACATGAATATTCACAAATACGAAGGCAGGAAACACAGTTAACATGGACACATGAGGACTGAACATAAAGTCAGAGACGAGGGAACACTGCAGGACAAAGACATAAACACAGAGAAACAGATAGGGAAACCACGATGATCAAAACTACTATTATACATGAAACAAATACATGAAAGAAAACACAGGATGAAAAACTGAAAGTTATCACTGGGGAGTTATAAGAAAAAAATGGACTCAAACACTCATAGATGCCACAAGAAAGAAAGCTTGTAATCTACTAGAATAAGGAATGCAAAACTTCAAACACTTGTATTAACAATAAAAGGAATTAAAACTCCCAAAATAACCAAATTCCTCAGGCGGCGACCTCCCCAGCTCATTTACTTCTGATTCCATCCCCTTCCAGAGGGTCCTTTCACTTGCCTAGCCCTGATATTCACAGATGGCTGAGGTGATCCTAACTGCAGCAGATGGTCTGATGACACTTGGAGGTCTAACTGTTAAGCAACTCAACTGACTGATCATCTAATTTACTGCTGAATTAAAAAATACTTTCCACTGATTAAACTAAAATTTAATTTAATTCGGTTTCTATATTGCTAAGTCATGTCAGCCGTTATCTGAAGACACTTTGCATCCTACTGAAAAAGCTTTAAAAAACACACAATAATGATTTGATAATAATGAGTCCTTTTATATTTTTGTGTTAAGCTTAAGGTCATAACTTTATGATTTTAAATGCCTTCCATTACAATACAATTTCTGGCTTCATGCTATTATGAAATGCTGTCTTGTTGTGATAAATGTATCCAGGAAGCCTTCAATTTTACATTCAGGTCACCGTGACTGACATTTCTTAACACTCATTATGCCTTTCTAGCATGTAATCAACAGCTGTACGAGTTTGCAATGGTGTGCACTTGTCTATAAACGATGAGATTATACCCCAGTCACGCAGAGTAATTATATTAAAATATAACTTCAAGGAGCTCAACCTTTCTAACGAGCCTTCTTTGCTCTTTGACATTTCAGAAACCGAGAGTGTGAGAGACACCACACGACTGTTTTATGTTGCGGAGAAGAGAAAAGAGTTTGTACACTTTGTATTTCCACCATCCTGAAGCTTTCAGTGTCAGAGCTGCTGAGAGAGTCTACAGTTAGCTCAACTTACTAGGCTGAGATGAATAATCTCTCAGTCTCATAGTTGAGCTGTAACCAGTCAAAGGGGTATTCCACGAAGCGTGTTCATCAAACTCAAAATTTTAAAAACAAGCTCAGAGTTGTTAATTTAATCCACTTTCGGGAATAGGGCCTAGGGGAGACTGGGACAATATGTTCACACACAAGGCAACAAAGGGCGAGGGAGTTGGTGGGGACACAGCTGTAGACACCTACGTTACGTGTGAAAGATAAAAAGACTGAAGGAACAGAATAGGAAAGACTGTGGGGAGGATCTTCATCAATATGAAAAGCTCTCAAACGTATTAAAAAACAATTCAAAGTACAAAATGCATGCGCTCCTTCGTCTTTTCCAAGACGTCCAGCTGAATTCTTTGCCGGGCCCATTCTGGACCCCGGGCCTTTTGTTTGACACCCTTGTTCTGGACAGTTTCACGATGCAATAATCCAACGGCGTTAGGACCCAGATCCTATAGCGGAAGAAGAAACCCCTCGCTGTCATCCTCATCCTCATCATCCTCCTCCATCCTCCACTGCTAAGATGCTGCATCTTCTCACACAAGCTGCAGTAATGTGCTTTAATGCGCTGGTTATCGCTCAGCCCGACGACTACAGGGTGGCCGAGAGAGCTTATGTGGTCCTGCAGAAGCAGAATTTAGGTGAGAACAAATGTGAGGCCTGTGGAGGGGCCGTTCAATGATCCCGACATCCAGGTGTAAGGTTCAAGGTGTTTATTTCTCTTTAGTCTCCAGCGACCACAACTATATACTGCAACAGAAACCTTTAAACCAGTGTAACCAGTTAACCCGTCGCGCTTGTCTGCCCGTTAGTCTGTTTTTATTGGCTGTGCTTGTGTTTTTGTCCTTACAGTCACACTGGGGAGTGTCCTGGCGGTGGTGCTGGTGCTGATGATCATTATGGCTGTCTGCGTCTACAAACCGCTGTCTCGTCGCTGAAATCTGGAGGACATATGAACCGAGAGACAATCCTGTTCTGTGTGCAAAGTTACACCCGCTCTGTTGCCGTAACCATGTGCAGATGGGAACCGACTGAGGGAAAAGCAGCTGCCAAAAAGCCCAGTGTGCGCAGTTAGTTTATAAACACAGATCAGGCGTAACTTTGTGAGCACTGATGGTGAATAACAGTGATTATGTCTTCATCATGGCACCTGTTGGTGAGTGTGGGCTATATTAGGGTGCAAGTAATCATTATGTCCTCAAATTTGGTGTGTTAGAAGCAGGAAAATGTGCAAGCATAGGTGTTTGAGTGAGTTTGAGGGCCACTTTGTGATAGCCAACTCTACTGAACATCTCCAGAATTGCGGGTCTCTTGGGCTCTTCCCGGTGTACGGTGGTCAGTTTCTATCAGAAGTGGTCCAAGCATGGAGGCTCACTGATGTACGTCGAGAGTAACGGCTGGCCAACTTGGCCCAATGCAACATTTTCAGCAATTTGAGCTACTGTAGCTCAAAGTGGAGTCCATGCTTTGATGGTTCAAGGCTGTTTTGGTAGGAAAAGAAGGACTAACGCAGTATTAGACAGGTGGCCATAATGCTATGCCTGATCAGTGTATCTTTAGTGTCTTTAATTTATCTTGATCTCAGGTCAGTTATTAATATAATTTAAAGTGAACACAGATACAGTGAAGATCAAACATCTGAGACTGGGCCTCATGTTTCCAGCAGAAAACTGCTTTACCACTATCACCTGTGTCATCTTCAGGTGATAGTGGCAAAAGAAACTGAATCACATTTTATGACTAGACAAAGATCGCAGATTAAAACTTTCCAGAAATTGCTGCATCTAAACCTCGCTGTTCACTGTCACTTAAAAGCAACTCCATCACAGATAAGGACATTTCTAAATAAAAAGTAGAAGAATAAAAAGTGCAGTTGAAATAACCACGTCTAGTCTGGTCTCAGAGGAGGAGCGGTGGTCTCTTGGGTTGGGTAGGTGTGTAAATGCGAGATTTGTGTCAGTAGCACAAGGGTATATGCGGAGAGAGAGAAGGATAACAGTGCATTAAACCCAAAGTGCTCTGGAGATGGATACTTGTACTGAGTTGACTCCACCCTGACCAAGGAGAACCACTGGTTTCATCAGAGACATCCTTCACCCTTCTGGTTTTGGAGAATATTATTACTGCTAAGGAGCCAACACACCGGGCTCGCAGGAACTACTTTAAGATGATACACATCACAAGAAACTCCTTGAATCATTTGCTATTAGCTGTTATCATTTTCAAATAGGGGGTAGATATTCTGAAATTCAGATTCATTTTTAAGGCTTTTTGGCTCCACTGCATATTAGTTTATGTAAAATTGCTTTTGTAAATAGAATGAGACAAAACTGATTTAAAATGCTCACCTAATGGCACAAGTAGTAATCTGGGCCTGTATTTTATAAAAAGAGAGCACCATGTGTTATTTATTTGGGTTTCAAAGCTGGAAATTTTGTGATTGGTTGCATTTTTTGTTTGATGAAAAGCAGAAGTTCTGCAAGCATTAAACTTTGAGATTAAAAAGTGAGAGCGAGTTATCATTGCTGTCTTTGTTTTGATCTGGTCATGACTGAACCTGATGTGCAGGATAAATGGACTGGTTTTTATTTAGTGCTTTGTTACTCTGCGCACTCAAAGCACTTTCATACAGCTCGCCTCATTCATACAAGCACTTCTATGCTTTTTCTATGTAAGTACTTTCTATCTAAGACTCACACTGATGCAGCATCGGTGTGGTCATCAGTCCATCACAGGGTTCACACATAGAGAGGCAACTATTCATGGTCACACACACCACATTAAAAAAAAAAAAAGAAGCATGCAGTAATGGAAATAAAGTGCTTTTATTTCACAACATTTTGAAAACTGACACATTCTCTGAAACTTTCAACATATTATAAAAAACCTTACAGCTCAAATGGCGCACTGCAAAGATTTTCATTACATTAACTAAAGCTACCATTTTCAAATTTGACTTTTCAGCAGTTTGGCAACTTGATCTTTACAGTTAGTAGCTGTTCAGCTGAAGCTTCTGATGCAGTCAGTCGCGCAGACCTCTGATAAAGTGGTTGGTTGTCAGTAAAAATCATTGACAGTGGTTAATGAGTGTTACTTGGCATCACACAGCTGAGACACCTTGTTTTTCAAACTACAAAATTTTAAAGAAACTCATTTAAACAGTTTAGTCTGAGTTGCACTGCATATAAATTTTGCCACGCTTCAGCTCCACCACGTGTTATCAGAGCGAAGCAATCCTTGGCACATGCTGAAGAAAAGAAAAGGAAAAAAAAAAAAAAATCAAACCCCAACGTATGGCGCTCATGCTTGACCTCAGGGTCTGTGCTGCTTTCCTTCTTCCGCACAGAGGTGTTGAGTTGTTCATGGATACAAAATGTAGACTGCCCTTTGGAACTACTGCTTCCCAGCTGAATGACTATTATAAATCCACAGACAGACTGGTCTTTGCTATTGCATTTCTGAATTGAGGTGAAGTTGCTCAGTGAGAATTTACAAAAAAAAAAAAAGAAAAGAGAAGTCAATTTTCACCAGAAGCTCAAGACAGGAAAGGAAAGCCAACCACCCCCTTTATCCTTTTTGCAAAGAGATACTACACCATGCGGCTAATTTCAAATTTCTTTCAAAGCAACATGCTCTACTCCATCTGTAGAGAGTACATTCACAAAGTACAAGAAGACACATTTACATATGAACATCTGAATCAACCCAACAAACCTTTCCAACTTAACACTGGCATAATGTTCTTATAGAACGATATGCTAGAGTGGTACCATATTAAAATCATTTACCTGGCTAACTTCTGTCAGTTTTACAGCTGATTAACAAAGTTATTCCAAAGCAAAGGAACAAAAACAAAACAAAAACTGCTAACCCTGAGTTTTCTGCTTTTCAGTGAGTCCAATATCCTCAACCAAGTGACTATGTAGGGAGACTTTACAATGACAGCACTGCTGTGTTTGTTTGCCGGGGCCGCGAATATCACATTTGTGTGCCGACACTATATGAAGTCACCTTTGAGCAGTCAGTCAAACTTTTTTTGTTCACAGAACCACGTTACACTGACTCAACCCTCACCCGAGACAACAGTGACAGAAATACCTGCAAGTTGCCGCTGTGAGTCTGAACTGAAACAAAGAAACTGAATAAATAAAAAGTAGAACCCATCCAGAATGATCTCAAACAGTCCAGGAAAGAAGCGTGACGATGGAGACACTATACTGAGATAGAAATATACAAAAAAACAGAGTATACTCTTACCAAAATACCTTTTGAAAAATATTGGATACAGACAGTTTGATTTTGGCTGTGTAAGAATTATCTGTTGTAGAAAGAGATCTGCAGTTGCATAGTTGATGAGAGTGGTTAGGAAGGAAAACTGAGGTGTGGTGGTTGCTTTCTGGATCAGCAGAATTTGTATTATTATAATTATTATTAATATTTATATTTCCCTCTTATTCCCTTTATTTCTCTGTGAGCGAAAGCTGCAATATCCTCTCCAGCTCCTCTTCCTCTTGTTTCCTCATTCTCTCTTCTTCCTCTTGAGCTCTTGCAGAAAGCTCCATTGCTAGACGCAGGTCTGAATCAGGGCTAGAGGCAGAGGCAGAGCTGGGAGGGCTGGAGGTGTCTCTATAATCCACCAGCACCCCCTCTGGGATACTCCTAGAAGGTCAACAGGATAGAACTGAGATTCACCTTTTTTCCTGTTGCCTTTACTGATGCTTACAGGCAGCGAGGCAGAATATCATCCTCACAGGTGGACACTGAACAGACTTAAGGTGCGCAGAATAAATATGTGATAAAGTTTGACTAAAAACACTACAAAACCAACCATGTGAATCCCTAGGCCTCCTAAGCTGCAAGCACCTTCTATTAAAACACTCAGTAACAGAGTTACTTGTAACACTGTTAATCTGTTCCTACCTGTCACTCTGGTTAATCGGCATTACATCAGCGAAGTCCCCATCAACATGATCCCAGAGCCCCTCCTACAAACACACAAACACCAGGGGAAGTTACAGTCTTCAGCATGTGGGGAGGGGGGGGGAAATTTGCATGAAAAAGAAGTTTGTGTCAGTGACGATTGCTCTGACCTGGCCGTGACGAGACTCCAGGAGACTCTGATGGATGGCGTACTGTAAGAGCTCCTCATCGTTATTGGACACAGGCATGTGGCGGCTTCCCCCGCGACGGTGATAACTCGCAGGTACCTCAAACACCGAGGGACACACCTGGAAAGGAGGTGGTGCTGGGTAGGGTGGATAAAAAAAACAAAAACAAAAAAAAAACAAAACAGTAGTTGAGCAGTTTAAAATGACAATCGTGCGTTTTGTGTTTAAATATTCTGGATAAACCATCTGCTTTCCAACCTGCTGCTTCATCGTCTCCTGTGGATGTTGGTGTGGCTGCTGCTGATGTGTTCGCTTCCTCCTCAGTGCTGCATTTATTTACACTACCAAAGGTAATCTTGGCATTAAGCACATGAAACAGGGGAATCTCTGAAAGAGAGGGCCACATGAGATACCAAAGTGACAACAGAAAGGGTATCAGAGTGCTTCTGCAAATCCAAAATTTCTAGTGAAAAACATAACAATAAATAAATAAAAATCATAAAACTGCAAAATACCTATTTTAACAGGAAATCCAGGAGGGAATTTCAGGGTTACAAAGTCTCGTAGTCTTGCAAAATGGGAACTCGTGCGAGCCATGAGGTCGATAATGGGGGTTACCTGCTCCACCAGGGAGAGGGGATGGTCCTCACTCATCCACAATGTTCCTTTGAATCTGCGTGAGAGGAGATTGCAGATTAAGTGAAACATTAAATTCCACAATACAACTAGGAAAATGAGTGGACTGGAGTTTAGAACACTTGAAATTACTTCTGTGTTCGAATGCTCAGTTCAATAGGACGGCCGATGTCTCGTTTCACAAGGTCAAAGTCGGGATCAAAGTATTCCTCTGGAGTGATCGCAGTGGGATTGTTGGCAGTTGCATATTCGAGAGTCAGGTCCTACAGAATGATGAAGTCGCAAAAAATAAGCAGGTGCATGGCAACAAAATGTATCACGTTTACAATAATGCTGAAGGAACAACTTACTCCTTGCGCATTTATGTGCTGCTCCACAGTCCCCAGCAGAGACTCCAGGATGTTTCTTTCACCTTTGGAAAGACCAAAAACAAAAGAAAAGCAGCCAATCAGCACTCAGATTCAGTTCTGTTATGAGTGTAAAGAAAAGTTGACTATAACAACATTCAAACCACTTCCCTGACATTTTGAACTGGCAGCAGATTTCATGTTGTTTTGAAACACATCAACAATTAAACTTTATTATTACTATTATTTTATTTCGCTGACACTTTGGGTCCTTTGGGTTAATGGATGGGGCATCCATGGATCTGCCTCAATCAGCCAGGGATACATGTCAGAGAGGACGACCCTGCCAGTGTTGGTGCTGGTGTTTAGGTGAGTGATACAAGGCAAAATAATAGCCACATTAATACTAGAGCGCTACAAAGCGAGATCAATTGGTTAGCGAGCTATGTCAAGCTTAAAGTTGGAGTTTTTGGTGTGACAAGAGCAGCTCTCGTTTTACCTGGCTAAATCACTATGGTAACTTGTGCTGAATGAATAATCTTGTGGGGCAAAGGTTATGTTTAGAGTTTCAGTTTAAAATATACCACGACTTCATTGATTCTTTTCTCCTCCCGAAGGGTAGGTGTATGGATTTGGTTCTTTTTTAGTGTGTGTTTGTTAGCATTCTTATCAAGATACCTTTTTCTTGAGCTGATGTCATTTTGGTAAAAAATAAATAAATAAATCAGGTCAAGGTCACACCAAGTGTGAAAAATTAATTGTAAAAACTTTATATTACCCACAATTTTTATAGATCATCTTCAAACTTCACATAAGTACCCAGGTTGCCTTCACCTTCATTCTTAGCACCAAAAGCTAAAGTTCACTGTGAAAAACGCATTCCAAGGAACCTGTCAAAATATATACTCTTAGAATATATCATGAGAGTAATATTCATATGAAAGGGCATGGAGGGAGCTATGAACCAAATACGACACGCTATGATGTCACAATGACACCATAACAGGCTGAAAACCGTGTGCTGTAATAAAGACATCATAAAACATTGAAGTTTAGTGTAGCCCTCGCCCTGCAGAAGGAGATCTCCCTGAGTGCTCTTGTTTACAGCTTGTTTTCTCTGCTGGGAGGATGGGGGAAGTTAAGTTATTAAGCCCTACCTTACTGATATAATGAAAGAAGCAAAGCTGTAAAATCACAGCAGGTCCCTTAAAATTTGCATATATTGTTTTGGCGATGCAGAAAACGTATAAATGTTTTTATGCTTGCTTCCAATCTGCTGATAAGTCTCCTTTACACTGCAGGAATTGCAGCTGCTAGAACACACAACAAACACCAAAAATGTTTATTAAACTTAAAAAAAAAAGAAATACAACTTTGATCCACTGACAAATTAAAGAAATTTCCATGTCTGCTTTATT